GAAAATAATTTTGTTTTTGGACCATTAAAATAATAATACTATTCAATTTCAAATAGTAATACAAGAAATTTTTAGCATCCTACATCATTATTTTGACAATTTAACAAAATCATTTGTATCTAATAACTAAATTTTCTAAACTTTCTTACTTCAGCTTCAAAATCATCCTTTTCGTGATAAATTAAACCGAGACTAATGTTAATTTACACTGATAGAAATGAGCAACTCAAATTCTTCGTACATTGAGAAAAAACAAATCAATTTTAATAAATATTTAGTCCAATACTGCCAACTGAACATTTACTTACCATAAATAAATATTTGTTCATTAAAAAGAATGATTGTTAAATCAAATAAATATTTTCTGTATCAAATAAATATATCTTTATATTTATTGGCAGTATTCAACTAAATATTTATTAAAATTAACTATATTTTTTCTCAGTGTGTTTATACAATCGCATAGATTACGGACGAGGGGTTCTAATGTCGTTGTATCTCGCCGCTGATATCACGAGAAAAGTACGTGAATGCCGTAAAGTGCCGTCTCTCATTCGCCTCGGTGCGTCGTAGAACAAGCGCAGCGTCGACGGCGACGGCGACGACGACGACAACGACGGTGACGGCGATGCACCTGCCTGCTCTGGCGGCAGTTGCACCCCTCTTTATGACGATGCTATCTAAGAAGGCTGTATGTGCCCCCTTCGTTTCGCTTTTGCTCGCTTCACCGTTGCTCCGCGTCCCGTGCTGGTAGTCGTGCGAGCGACACCTGACGCACGTACGCACTCGTAAAACGCGCGCGCTCGCGCACACGTGCGGCATACACGCCGTTTGCACGCGCACTTCGCTTGTGAGAAGCAATATTAATCCGCCTTCTCATATGCCTGGGAGGGCTAAGTGCTCTTAAGCTTCTTTTCCCCGTTTTACCTCGTTACTATCTTTCATTTAGCTGATCCGGCGAATCTGTTTCACAATGCACTTTTATTTTAAATAAAGCCGTACTATTATTATAGCTTTCTATAGAGGGAATCAACATATTGATGTATTACATGCTTATCGTCATCGAGCACCTATGTATCGCAAACTTGTGACGTATTTGTATCAAATTTGTGCGTGCGGAATTCTCGTTCTGAGAAATTCAGGTATCTGCGCATATAAGTTAATTGATACACTTATAGTGCATCTTACAATATTTTTTCGTAAAATATTAAAATTAGATTTAAAAAATGTTGAATTATTAATTAATTGTATTGTATGTAGATAAAATTAATATCTTTGTTTACATAAATATAAGTATCAAATAGGGGGAGATGAGAAAAAATTAATTTGCATTAATCGATCAGAAAGTTGCCGCAAGGGATCTAAATGCAATCACGATTAAAGTATATTTATATTTAATGATATAAAGTATATTTAAATGTCTTTTCGCGTTTTTTTTAGATATACCGGCGCAAGTGCCGCCGTTAACACCTGGGACCAATAAGAAGATGACTGAGGCTCTGGAGGCCTCCTTCGCGTCTTGGGAAAAGGAACGACTCCGCCTGAATATAACTAAAGGTCAGCTCTCTTTTATTCTCATTATTCTTGATTATACTTCTTTGTGATTACTCGTAAACATAGCTCATACAAGCTTAGTTAAAATAATCGTATCACCTTTTTCTCATATAATAAAATCGCGTTATTACAAGGTGAAATTATAAAGCATATTTTTACATCCATCGAATATATGTCTTTATTATAAAATTATAAAATCTGTAGTTCTAGACTAATAGATCAGTAAACTGATATCTACGCGATATTTAACGTACTTCAAAATTACAATTGTAACTTTAAGTAGATGAACAAATTTTGCAGCAATAGTAATCGTCTTACGAGCGTAAATATTAATCTCTGATCTTTTATGACGGTTTATACGATTTGGAATTTATGATCGTTGTACCGCCTCACCGCGCAAGTTGTTGAAAAAAATCGCTGCAGGCGCACAGAAGAGGGAGAGACAGCATACGCACGCACGTATATACGTTCGTGTTGCGTGCGTGCGTGCGTGCGTGCATGCGCGAGAGACGCGCGTAGACGCGGGTGCGCGCGATGTGACGCGATGTGCGACGAGGCGGCCGGCGATGTGCAGGAATTGTGAATGTGATGTTGATGGTTCTGATGGGGAGCCGATGCCACACATCCGGTATGCGCATTCAGAGCCACGCGGGTGTGACGTTACTTCCGGTCTACATGCCCTGGGTTCGTACCCTCCAGGCCAGATCACCTACAGTCTGACCTCCATGAACCGAACGAGCCACCTCCTGCTCCTCTTGCCATTTCACTTCGACCCTGAGACCCTGATTCTTTTATTTTCAGAAAACATTAAAGCATTATTAGAATTATCTTAGTAGTATAAAAAAAGTGTATTAATATGTGTACAGAAAAAAAACTTGGAAACGAGTATTTACTTGATTTTAGTGAAATTTATTCTTTTTCGCAAAAAAATGATAAAAAATTTTTCGTAATTAGTTAAAAAATTAGAAATTAAAATTAAGAATTTAGGTATTTCCGCTCAAAAATCCATAGATTGCTAAAAATCTATTTATGCGTCTGTCTAAAATCTATTAATATGTATTATATCGTCGAAGAGTATATATATGAAAACGCGTACCCTTACTATAAAGAAGACGCATCATGCATTCACAATTATGTTTGACGCGTCATATCACATTCGCTATTATGATTTATTCAAAATCTATCTCTCTTTTGAATAATAAATACAATCGTAAAAATGCTTCGACGTATAAGGCTGGATACCTCCGATCCTTATAAGTTTTAATATCTCTCGTGCTTTACTCCCATTACAATCAAGAAATATCTAAATCAATCTAATATTTTTTAAGACAGCATCTGCTTGTTTTTTTTTATAGAGAATTCCCAGATATACTTGATAAGTTTTACTTATTTTTCAATATCATAACAGCAGGTGATATTTGTCAATATACCAAAACATCAACGATAAAATACCTAATAATTAATTTTGTTTAGTATCTGATGAAAATGGAAAGAAAGAAGAAGAATATAAAATAATATATTAATAACGGGGGTCTATTATTATGTATGTAGCAATCGACCAGTAAGAGAAAATACATGTGCAGCGCACGCGTACACATGAATGTAGACTTGTGTTCGAATGCGAGGCGAGAAAGAGAGTGTAAAGTCTGCTAACAACGCTTACGAGAAATAAGTTGGGCAAATATCGGTACGATCCTCAAACATCGGCGGTCGCTTTGAACGTGTCGTACCATTGCTGTTAGACACTCTTGTTGCCTCGGTACTTTGTTCACTTTTTCTTCCTATATTTATATTCTAGCTTACGCGAGAGTCGTCAATTTATTTCGATACTTTATCAATTCTGCGAATAATGGTTCGTTCGTTCCAATATGCAGTCCTATCTATTTTTCAATTTGCAGTCCTATCACGTGCTAAAAATTCTGTATGTTTATATAAATGTCAAAAAAAACATTTATCGTCAATTTATTATCGTTTATTTGCATTGCACCCTTGTGTGTACAAAGAGATTTTATTTGGAGAAGGAGCCAAAAGTTTATTTTAACAATATTATTTTTTTTTTAAATGAGAGAAGAATTTCCATTATTATTTCTTTAGAATACAACATAATAAAAATATTTCTATCGGCGAATTTTTTTCTAAAGTCTTTTTTTTGATAAAGTGAAGATATTATATTTAAAATATAATATTATATTAAAATTTACTCTACATTTAAATAATGTGTATATTAATTATGCACAGTTAATTATTTTTATTTTCTTTTAAATGTCTTTAATGCCTTTTTGCATTAATAAAAGAACATATACTTTGCAATATTATTCTACACTTATTGTAATGATGTAAAGGCATAAAAATACAAGTGTATGGAGTGAAAGATTTTAAACGATCGAATATCTCGAAAATTAAATGAAATTCCTAGATCCAGTTTTTTCCAGGTTTTTCGGAATATCATTACTTTAACCTTTCTGCGGAATCTTTAAGACTAGATCTCAGATCTTACGAACATCTTCCTCATGTCGTTAGTGTTAAAGGACGTTGTGCGAGCAAAACTATACATTAGCGAGTCGCTGGCAACTCCTGTTTGCATTATGAGCCCAACTGTACTTTTACGCAGCGAGATACCACGAAACAATGCAAGACACGCGTGCAAATATGGGCGCGCACCTCAAATGGGACATTCCGATGTTTCTCGGTATTGCTTCCACCAAAGATGGTCAGCTTGGGTCCCGACTAACGATCACGCTGTCACAAATAATGGTGTATGTCATATAATGTTCGTTGGTCTTTCGATAATTTTCGGACGTCTTAAATGCGCTTGTTTTCGAATCAAGAAGTTTGGAAAGGTGAAAAATCCTCCATGAATTAGTTATTATGTGGAAATCATTTAAAGTTAAGAGCAAATGTTACCTATAGTTGTCTAATGATAATGATCCATTTTTCTGTTTCGTTAGATAAGGCGATAATAAATCAGTTTTCTGACATTTTTTGACAGAAAGGTTCTTTATCGTAAAAAAAATTTATCTAAAAGATTACAAAGCAATTAGCGACATAGCGGTCGTTCTTCGGAAAAATCGACTAGTTGCTGAAAAGATAATCCGGTTCTTATTTTTGTTTTCTTTTTTTTTTTCCAGACCCAAGGCAATGGTCGGAAGCAGCTGTTGCCCACTGGATGCACTGGGCTATCAGGGAATTCTCGCTGGAGGGTGTGGCGATGCAGCAACAGCCATGGCAGCACATGACCGGGAAACAGATTTGTGCCATGGGGAAGGAATCCTTTCTAGCACGTGCCCCCGCCTTCATGGGCGACATCCTGTGGGAGCATCTCGAGATCCTACAGAAAGGTGCGTGCTCCTCATACAAACGGCACAATCGGGTCCGTCAGTCTACCTCGAAATGTCCCTTAGATTTTTGTTGAATTCAATGCGTGATTATTTTATCGACTAATCTTGATCCTTAAGATATTTTTATTATAATCTTTGAACGGGGGGGGGATCTGTGCGAGGAAGCCTGATGAGACAGATCATTAGTCTAAAGTATTTATAATGCGCTTACTCGACCGGACATAGTGTTGATCTGAACAGTTATGATTCATGCACTGCCAACTATTAGTAATATTGCATGATAATTATATGATATTATTATGAATAGCTGCTGATAATCTGTTATATCGTGAAACAATTCCCGTAACTATTATTCTACCGCGAATATTTTTTGCAGTCACCTTAGCTTCGAATCATCAACGCAAAGTTTCTAATACAAGTATCACAATGCATGTAAAATTTCAAAAATTGAAAAAAAAACAACGATTAACAATTAATGTTATTTATCTTTATTAGCATTGAAGAGAATTTGATTGATTAATTCTATTTTTATTTTTATATACAATGTCTATTTCTGATGTACAAATTTTTTTTTTTTTTTTTTTTTTTTAAAAAAAA